CTCTCTCATGTTCAATAACCCTTATAAATGCAAGGCAAAAAGTTACCAGCAACAAAAGACAAGGTCACAAACAAGTTTGTCTTCCCCTGTTGTAAGAAACTCAACGCTACTGTTATCCTGTACGGGTAAAAAGAACAGCAGAATAAAAAAGCTTATGTTCTAATATTCTCGTTTGTATCTCTTCCTATGAAAAGTGTGCCTTTTAATACATTTAAATTTGCTCAATTCAGAAATGTGTTCACCTGTTACAAGCGTTAGATATGCACGGCTTCTTTCGCATTAAGAAATAAGGTAGCTTTTCACTCATCTCCCGCATTGCAATTTTTACTGTATCAAGTGAAAAAGAGAAGAAAAGAATTGCAGTCAAACATACCGCAGTGCCTCAGGAAGAACTCTTTAAAAGCAACGACACAGTAAAGACGGAGACAGGAAAATGAACTACGCCTGAGATCGTGTATGTTCCAACCAGATTAAAAAAGTTGCTACACTTTACAATAATTAAGCACAAGACAAACGCAACATGCCAAACTAATTCATGCAAATGAAATAGGCATATCTAGAGCCAATCTTTTAAAAGATGTCATGAGACACATCAACAGATTACGGTTTTGCAAACCAAGCAGAGTTTTACAGGGTCAATTCTTGGGTGAGAGGCAGTTAAACAAAATCCACAATTAGCACTAAGTTATTCAAACGATTCACTGAACTTTCCTCTGAATTTCTTATCAACTGGCATGACATTCCTAGGTGCAACTTCTGTTGAAATAAGCATTTTCCAAAGACTGTCATTGTTAGCTTTTTTCTTCTTTAGAATAAGACACTTAAACATACAGTTCCTGCCTCCCCAAACTTGTTCTTGATTTCAAAGGTGAACAATACTTTTCACTGTCTTACCTTGACTACATAACACAGTGCTCCCTTTACAATTTAACAGCTGCCACGTATCACCCACCTCAGCAAGAAGCACTTCAGCAGCAGCTCGCTCCCTCATACACGCACCAGCATAACTTACAAAGCGCTGTAGTTTAAATTGCCTTTCAAATCCTGTTTGTTTTTTAAGCAGCTTGTTAAACTAAGCAAAACTCTCTTGTGAGTTTAGATTATGTCCCCCTTTTAACATATTTGATCATACAACCAAGTCTGGAAAGTAAGTGTCACCCTGTCGATTTACACGCCTTGAAACTTTTTCCTCAGTTAAAACACAAACAGTTCCACAACCTCGCCCTACAGAATAGCAGATCTGCCAGTAAATACTTGTTGTTGTTTTTTTAACCTAGATGCTGCTGCAAACAGTTTAGAAAGTAGGTTATACCTTGTCATTCAAGCAATACAAGCATGTCTGAACATAAAAACTGAAACGAGATGAAAACACCATTGTCCTACTTTCCACTACCCTGCTGCCTGTCTGTTTTACCCCGACACAGGCACTAGCAAACATCCAGGCAAACTACACATGTGTATTCCCAAAATGGGAACTACATCATCTTCTTCTGCAAAGACAATTTGGCAGTGCAAGAAATCTCTGCTAAATAACATCGCTCAATAGCCAAGTTACACTTTGCTTTCTTTCACGTTATTAGCTTTACTTCTACCTCCTCGGACCACCCTAAGGGATTCTTCTCCATTATCATCTTCAAATACTTGCAGATAACCATATCTCCCACTTAGACATCATTTAGCCAAGTTTCATGCATTTTGTTTCATCTTCTTTCCCTCATAAATCAATCCCTTCAGCCTCTCCAGCATTCTTGCTGCTCTTCCCTGAATTTCTTCCAAATTGCTGACATCTTTCAGCGACTGAGGAACTTCCAATTGTATGCTGTGCTCTAGATGTGTGTTTTGTACTCTAAAGAAAGATAATTAAGCCTTTTCAAGAAATATTAATGCTCCAAGTCTGGAATAAATCTAAATCAGAGATTTTTTATTTTTTTTCCAGAATGGATAGTAATTACCCCCATTTCACAGAGCAGAAGAGCAGAGAGAAGTATCTGAATTATTGCTGCACACAAGCAGTGCCAGAATAAGAAACAGATCTGTGTTCTGCCATTCCCAGTCATGAGGTCTGCCAAGTTTCAGCCCACAGACAACGTAACACAGCGTTCCCAGGCTGCGATCCATAGGCAAACACAAGCCATTTCCAAGTGACTACGGAACAACACTTGGGGAGCCCAACCAACGCTTGCTCGCACGAGCAGGCACAATGCTGGAGGCTGCTAGCACCAGCGGGACCATGGAACACCCTACAACGTGCCATGGTCTGCTATTACCTTAAGTAGTCAGGACAGAAGACTGATACATCTACCTGATTTTTATTGCTATACAAAGGTTTGTTTCTAAAACCAGCCCTCAGCTACCATCAGGTTAACTACCCGAACAAGCCATTCAATTCCTGAGGTTAAGACAGGTTTTAAATACAAGAGGACTGACCAACTACCAGGCTGAGGCAGTCCGAGGCAGTTTTCAACTTGCACATTTCCTTCCTTTCCCTCCCACTCTGATACATTTGTGAAGTAATCACAGGGAAATAACTTCAGAAAAGTTAAGAGCTCTTCCCAAAAGAAATCTGTAAGAGAGACTATACAGGGGAAGGCAGGGCTGAAGAATGGAGGGGGGGAAAGAGAGAGAAGAGTCTGATCAGTTAAATTTAATAAAAAAAAAATCTAAAAACCCACAAACAGGATGCAGGCATTAAAAAAGCAACACTGACCTAACAAAGGAATGTGAACTGCAGTTGACTTAAAACAGCATCACAGCAATAGCCCTCCCCCTACACACAAATCTCTGCAACTCTTAAAGACACAGGTTTTTAGGCCCTTCCAAATTCTGTGGGGTTTTACCCCGTGAGCCACGCTTTGTTTGATACTCTTAGCTTGAGGTGATTTAGCTCATTACCTCTTCTTTCCAGATAACAAGAGTACCCAAATTTAACCCAGACTAAAGAAAACTAAGTTGTATTATTCTGTCTACCTTAGAGAGGTATTGAATTCTAGTATTCTGCTACATGTTCTTCTCATTGAAAGAACAAACTATAAAGGGTCCTCTGTTTCACGGTCTGCTGTTAAACATTAGAAGAGTATAACCAAGATTAGATAATGAACACCTTGGTGAAAGGCATCATTTCTTCCTACTAATTCAATATACAGGGCAAAAAGCAATTTTCTAAATCTGTGTACGATTTTCTTAATGTAATTGTTGGTTTGCCATTATAGTTCCTGCTTACATCCACAACAGTGACAAAGACTCCTTATTAGGCTTCTCCTCGTCCCGTGAAGAACCACGTCCTTCATCCTAAATGTGGAAATAGCAACGTAAATGCCATCCTCCTGTTGTTGTTCTCTTTCATCATATTTTTGCCTCAGGGAGATAAAAGCTACTAAGAACACTACGTTTTTAAGCAAGATACCATCTTGATTTTCAGCTTGAACCCTTTTCAGCGTTAAGGTCATTTACACATCATTTCACCACCTACCTAAAGGTAGGTATCTCAGTGAACGCTTAAAAGCATTTCTATAATAGAAAATGAAAAACATACATGTATCTGGTGCAACTTCTTTCTTTAAATATGCACTGTGCTTGCTAATTAGCCTCTCAAATCTATTTGCAAAGTTTAACATTTGGTGACAAAACTGGAATTACAGCTAGGATAGAGTACAGGAGGGGTTTTGTCTAGTCAGAAATTCTTATCTTGCAATAGGAAGAAAAAAGGAAATTTGCTCAGGGTCAAAATAAGTGCATTTGCACCGAGCCTTAAGTTATATGGAAAATAGTCCATCTTCAGCAAGAAATCAGGAAACTTCCATTTTCTTTGTACATCAATCACTATGTGATTGTTTGCTGTCACAGAACATCGTGATTTCTTTTCTCCACTTGTACACAGAAGTAATCTCACTCATCTCCATAAAGAGGGTGGAGAATTAACTAGGGACAAATGGGCTGAAGACACTCAGAAATACAAAGCACTCCTAGTATCTTAAAATCTTATCCCATAATCCAAGTTAAATGCAGCACCTATTACTGCCTTTTCAAAAGTCTCAGAACAACTTTCCTACCTTAAAGGAAGGAGGAAGAAAACCCAGTAATGACACTTATAAACTCTAGCACCCATCATTCCCCATACTCAAACCACAGGAGGCATAAATCCATGCTGTAATTCACCAAAGATGAAAAATACAGTAATATATTAATATCATAAAACCAGAAGACAAGCAATAAAAAAACCTCTCAAGATCTCCAAAAACTCATTTATCAAGCAGTTTTTGCTAGAAGACAAGCTGGGAAATAACATGCACAACAGAGCCAATTTAAGGAACTTGCATCCACTACGCTGTATATTTAATAAGTAGATACAGGTAAAAATGATTGCAGGTTTATTTGTTGATTGATTCCTTTATTTGTTCAGAAGGACTCTGAGTCTGGTGCAAATCGTATGTATATTAAGAGAGGAGAGATTTCCGCGAACCTTTCTGGGTAGAGCATGATTTCAATGTTACTGACACTTAACAAGAAATCATTCTGAGACAGGAGTTTGTTGACACAGGAGATATGGCTTCAGGCCATTCAGTCTCACAATGTAAGTCCAGCCACCATCATTTAACTAGAAGAGGTGTAATCCACCACATCAGCAGCAGTTCAACTGGCTATAAGCTGATTTCAAAACTTCAGGAGACTACTGCTAACATTCAGACTTGCAACATGAGAAGATCCTCTACACTTGACATAAATAACTAAAAGAGAGTATATTCAGACTAGATATAAAGAAGAATATTTTTTTTTTTTTTTTTATAATGGGGTGGTGAAACAGTGGAACAGGTTGCCCAGACAGGTGGGTAGATGCCCCATCCCTGCAAATAGTCAAGGTCAGGCTAGATGGGGCTCTGAGCAACTTGATCTAGTTGAAGACATCCCTGCTCATTGCAGGGGGTTGGACTAGATAACCTCGAAAGGTCCTTTCCAAACCAAACTACTCTATGGTTAGTATTTGTCAGCTGATAAGCACCTACCGGGAATTCGGATTTTAAACTTGCCACTTTGACCAAAACCACCTTCTATTATTCCATCTTCTCCTGTAGACAGTTTGACTTTTAGACCCACGAAAATCTGGATGTTTGTTTCCTTTTTGAACAACGAACGACCAATCACGCTGTAATCATCCATCACCTGCAAAAGAAATAGGGCTTCATGAGCCTACAATCTAGTGACAAGAAAAACTATATCTAAGTTTGGTGACTTCTGCCACCCAGCCCTTTAAAACCATTTACCCCCAAATGAACAAAACTCAAGATGAGTCATTTAAACTGCTGACTTTATGTCAATTTGTGTCTAAAACCATAGAAGACTATGTGAACTAATGTAGTTCTGTTTTCACCTCCTTTCTTCTAATATAGGAAGAAAACCTGCATCAGAACATGCTGTAAAGATCAGTTAATTAAAATCTCTTTTCTGCTTTGAAACCTTTCCATGAAAGTCACTTAAGTACCTATGCTCACAAAAAGTTTATTCCATTACTTATCTTACAGCTAAGCACATTATCACCTACATAAATGTTCTCTGTCTCTTACTTCCAGAACTGCACTCCAATGGCTACACTTCCAAAGAAATGACAGAATTACTCAGTTATTTCTAAATAGAAACTTTTAAATATTCACCTTTACATACACATAGACTTGTTAAATTAAAAGCCTTATGACCATTGTATCCAATTTTAATTTCAAGGTTTGTAACCCAGTGGGAAGAGCCATTCCAAGCTGAATTCTTAATTAAGCTATCAGGAACAAGAGGCAGCAAGGTTGGTGGGTAAGGCAAGATAAACAAACCCTCCCTTAGGCATTACAAAGTATAAGGTGCAGTCAAGTGAGCCTAATCCTGTAGGTGTGAATATCCTTGTATACCTAACGCCTGGAGTTACTCTACCTCATAGGCACAGCAAGAACATTTATTTACTTATCAGAAGAAATAAGGAGATATTACTGAAATCTTTTCAAGTTTGGTTTTTTTTTGTTTTGTTGGCAAAAGTTGCAACTGCTCTTCATATCTTTGGAGCAATTTTTAGATAAACCTAAGGGTTTCAAAGACCAAAGTGACTTAGAATGGTAGAGAATTATAACCAATTTCAAACACTTCCCATTATTCAGTTTAAATGATGACTCAAAATATTGCTGGTTTATTAAGCTACTGTCCTTCCCTGAAGCCTCTTCCATAAACAGCAGTTCACACACAGACTCACATCCCTAGCATTCTTGTTTATTATTTTGTTACATAAGTATGCTTCTATTTTAATGCCAATATCAGTTATTTTAAATGGGGTTTACTTGCTCAGCCATAAACAGCATTGAAAGGGCTGTGCTGTATTAGAGAGCACCGGCAGGACCTCACCCTGTCCCAGACCACATGCAGGATGAGAAATGTCTACAGCCCTTCTTCCTTCTTTCACGTGGAAATAACAGCACAGGCAGCTCCACTCCCAGCTGAGTGCGGGGTCAAGGCTGTAGGAGAAGCATTCAGATGTCTCAGCCACATTTGTTGACTGAACATCCACTCCTCTTTTTCCAAAAGGTGCCATTTATGGGTTTTTTTGGTGTGCTTGTCCTCTCCCACTCCCCCAACAAACACTGCTTCAAAATAGCTTCTAAACCATTAATGGTAGTATCATTGCTTGGCAACCTCTCGCTTAAATTTAAAACTGAATAACGTCTTTTACTAGAGCCACTGATAATAAGGTGGTGGTAGAGAGGGAAGATAAGCTTTCAGGCACACTTGCCTTTCTTCAGCTCTGAAATAAAAGACTAGCAGAAAAAGAAGCTGTTAATTCTAACCTTAAAAAGTGCTTACATTCTCAAAACCTCTTCATTTTTCCAGTTGCATTAGCTGATGAAATAAAAATATTACTTCTTCCTATAAATCTTTTGTCCCTAAAACAAGATTTTCAAAACTGAGCATCCCTCTCCTCCACTGCTGGTATGTACTTTTTACCCCTCTGATCAGACGGTCTCTTACACTTCAGTGAGGATCCTCCATATATCTATTATTTTTGTAGCTACACCCCAAAACAGCACAGGAAGACAACTTTAAAAGACAACATAAACATCTTTTGTTTTTCCAAGAGCACTTCAAAGTTATCTCTAGCTTAATTAAAAATGGAATTACAGGGTGAGCAATCATACTAGGCTAGCAAGGCTGACAGAAAAAAAGTTCAGAATTATTTCTGTGAACAAGCGTTACAGGCATCACGTACCTTTGAGTAAACTGGTAATGATAACCTATACTTGATGATTCTAACAGCAACAAAATCTATCACCATTTTGGTATGCCATACTCACTTACAGCCTTTTGATTTTAAACCCCCTCATCTTTTATAAATAAACATGCTTTTCAGGGTCTTGCTCTGGCACACACACAGATTAGGAAAGTAACTGAGTGCTCCAGCTGCACAGGTCCTTTCACTCCAGTGGTCAACTTCTTAAAAAAAATCCCTCCTTTAGCTGATCGATACGTTCTGTCCATATCACTGTTACTCCTTGGGCATCTCTACAGGCCATTAGAAAAACAACTGCTTTAGTGAAGCTGAGCTAATAGGCAATCAGTGACTTGAGTGGATGTTTGGAATAAAACCTTTATGACCTGAAGTCTCAGACCCCTACACTAAATATTATCCATCATCATTCCCCCCGTAAGCCTATCACCAATTCATCCCTGAAGATGACTAAATAGTAAGAGGACACCTGACATAAGAACTAAGATAACTGAGCAGTCTTTGCAGTAAAATAAATGGGTGAAGGAGAGATAATTGCTACGAAGGAAGTGTCATTTTCTCAACTTTAAGACCATTTTATAAAAATAAAAGAAAAAATTCAATTTTTGTTTTAGTCTTGCTTTGTAAAAAGCCACAGAAATGCACGTTGTTCTCTCCAACTGAAACACAACACTTCCAATTACTTTACCAGCAATTTACCTCCAATCACTGGATTTTAAGTTAATCCCCTTTGAGTTCTCAGAACATCTACAATGGCAATCACTTTACCTATTAGCTGAACAGCCTTTTGGGAGATCTTTCTGCTTTTCCCTCAAATGCTTTTTTTTTTTTGTTATAAAATATTATTAACTTAAAAAGCCAAATGCCGCAAAGACAGTAAGGGATACGCAGTCTGCTCTGAAGCAGCAGCAAGGGGCCTAGCAACGAGGGCAGACTAATTTTATTAACTTCAGGGAAACTTCAAAAAGCTTTAGGGCTTTAATGCCAGACAGAGACGACCCCAAAAGTCAGTTTAAGTGCTGCATAAACAAAGGATTAGGGCAAGAAAAAGCTGAAGGCTCCTTGCATTTCTTGTTTATATTGTCATATGACCTAGTGGGAGTGGGAGAGGGCTGCCTCGCTGACTTTAATCCCCCACGGTATACAGTGGCGTTTCAGTTCACTGACCTACATTACGATAATATTTTTTTAAATTTATGGGCAGAGGTGCAGCATCAAACTCACTTAAGGATTTTAAAAAAAGAAAAGGGGTAGGGGGGAGAAATACCCAGAAGAGAAAAAATTTTCTGGCTGGTATAGTCTCCCCCTCTCACTTAGGTTAGATCAGCAGCTTAGAAAGGGATTTCAAGTTCAAAGGGAACGTCTCTGTTACTCTTGTTTTATAGCTTAGACCAGAGGACACAATAGCACTGAGTTTATGAAATATCCCTTCCCACTTGGCTTTTATGTTTGCAGGAGGAAAGTAAACAGCACTTTATAACCATAGGTGAAGTATGCGCATCTCTGGCACATAACACTTGTGCTAATACCAAGAAATTCACAGAAAAAATTAACCACCTCGCACTCATCATCTAAGCAGTACTTACGCTACTATATATTGTTTGTAAAGCCACAGTTAATGTTACATGCATTGGCAAACTGTAATGTAATTCCAGGGAAAAGTAACTCTGCAATTTCCCTTTGAGCAGGGATAGCAAGCTGTACTGTCCAGCCTGTTAAACCACTCTCATTTTTAAGATAACTTAGAAGTTACTGTCATCTGAACACCCTCTCAAACAATCCATCACACACATTTTAAGAGCAAATAATTCCATGTCTTAACTATCTGTAGAAAAAAAAAGGGAGGGGATCAGAACAGAAACACACAGGAGGAAACAAAGCAGTGCCAGAATGAGACGGGAAATAAAAAAAGGTTTGAAACAGAGAAAGTAAAAGCACTGAATATTAGATACTAGAAAGAGACACAGAGAAAGAATAATCTTTTCTGATTTAATCTAAAATTACATGGTTTTAAATAGAAATAAAAATTTTTAAAAAAAACAACAAACAAAACAGGACCAAAGATTATTCTCAGCAAACTGAAAAATAGCCCATTGAAACCAAAGCAGAAAACAACAGGAGGGGAAAAAGAACAAAAAAGAACCTATGACTAACACTGAAAATACAAAATATTTTTATTACTTTTTTGTACTTTATAAAAAGTACACTTGAGACATCTTCATCATGATCAGTGACAGCTCATTTATTTCTAGAAAACAGTTTTGAGCACTTTCCATTTCTGTGTCAGAAATGGGAATATTTTGAAGGCTGCAAATTCCTGTTTTTTTAAAAATGTGGCTTCATGCATTGAGAAAATGATGGTACATGAGGCCACAAAAAGGGTGAAGTGGAAAGGAGCTGAGAGGATTTCACTGATGATTTGGTTTTCAGCTTTTTTGATTCTCCAAAGACAGTTCCTAGTAACAAACTAAAAGCTAGAACTAGGTGATCAACTTGGTACAAAGAACGAACAATTTGGTCAGCCACGGTTCTGGCTGTTTCCTCAAGAGCTTACATCAGCATAAAAGTATTAAAGGCTTCTCTTTCTGCAATTCCCTCTGGCACTAGAAGCTTTCAGTTGTGTGCTGGGCTCTAAAGACCTTCTTCTCACCATCTTCCAAGTGAACAAACTAAACTTCTGCCTTTGAACATCCATTCAGGAGGAAGAAACAAAGGCGAAAAGCTCATCTCCTTCAGTACTCCATGTCTCATTACTGCTGTTTTAATAGCGCAAGAAGCCGTCACACAGATACCTCTGCATATCCACTAGCTTTGGTTTTCAGATGTTTGTCCCACCTCTCCCCAGCCTATGTTTCTTGTATCCAAGAAAGATCTTCCCTTCTCAGTAAAGGCACAACTCCATTTGAGA